AAACCCTCCAAGCCTGGAGCCACACCAATACTGAGCCTGTGCGTACCCCTAGACACTCCCCGTACGCTGCCCTACAAGATCTCTATGCAGATGCTTCAAGATGTCTTTCCTAGCCATCCACCATGGCGGGTGGGTGAAAGACCCAAGAAACATGGAGTTAGCTCGTTAAACAGCAATAAAGCCTTGTGCAGTTTGCATCAAGCTTTCGAATCTGCCTGGTGATTGGGGTGACTGCGGTCCTGGGCTGAGACCCTGGAGGCCTGAGCTTCCCGGGGTCTTACAGGGATGAAGAAGGGCGGAGCCGGAGGAGTCGCCAGCAGATGCAGGGAGAAGCAAGATGAGCATGTCGTTCTAAGAAAAGGTACCCAAGCCACATGGCAAAGCATAGATAAGAAATATGGTTTCCAGGCATTGGTGGTGCATGCCTTTAATCCCAGCACTCAGGAGGCAGAGGCAGGCGGATCTCTGTGAGTTCGAGGCCAGCCTGGTCTCCAGAGCGAGTGCCAGGACAGGCTCCAAAGCCACAGAGAAACCCTGTCTCAGAAAAACAAAACAAAAAAAAAAAAAGAAGAAGAAATATGGTTTAATTTTAATGTAAGAGTCAGCTAGTAACAAGCCTGAGCTACTGGCCGAGCATTTATAATTAATATTAAGCCTCTGTGTGGGATCAGCTTGTGGGACAGAAACTTCCACACACACACATAGATAAAATTTAAAATTAAGTTAAATATGATGGAATCACATCGCATATATGTATGAAATTCTTGAAGAAAAATACATAAAATGTTTAAAGAAAAAAAAAAGAAGAAGAATCCACTCTGGGCTGGGTCCCCATGAATGAGATGTTGTGGTCCGTTGCAAGTGTCACAAACCCTTCCAAGAGGCCTCCTGGGTTCTGCCCTCTGACCTATCCCATGAGCAGCAAACGAGCCCCCCCCACACCTTCCCTCAGACGCTCTCCTGGCCACACTCACCGGAACACCAGATCCTTGGGTGCTTCCTTCTCCTGGCTCTTGTTTCTTCTGGAAGAAAGACACGGGAATGTGACTCTCCAGCCTGAGCCCCATCTTCCCTCCAGGGCTCGCACTAGCCAAGTACCAGTCCTGTTTAAGTCTCACCTCCTCTTCAGGAAGAAAATCAGGAGGCCCACCAGGATGAAAAACAGGAGGACGCCCACGATGGCTCCCACAATGACCCCTGCAGTGAGAAACGGAGGAGAGGTGATGACGATGGTGAGGACTCGTGTTTGTGGCTCCGTGTGACATGGCATATTGCATAGAAGTCACAGAACCATTTTTTGCAGTCAGTCTTCTCTTTTGACCACACGGATCCCAGGGATCAAACTCAGGTCCTCTGTCTTGTGTGATACGCGTCTTTACCTGATCTTGCTGGCCCAAGGCCCAGGACTTATCTACTGATTTGCTGTCTCTGTCCTCAGCCAGCTCCCTGCTGAGAGGCCCACAATGAAGATGGGTGGAGAAGAAAGAGAAGGCAATGCCATTGTTCCTGGGCACAGATCCAAATGCACTCATTTTTTAATTACATCTATTTATCTGTTTTCTTTCTCTCGGTGTGTATGCCTGCATGCATGTCAGGGTGCATACGTGGAGGTCAGAGGACAAACTTCAGGAGTTGGTTCTCTCCTTCCACCATTCAGGTCCCTGGGGTTGAATTCAAGTCAGGGCAGCAAAAGCCTTCACCCTATGATCCATCTTGCAGGCTCAAATACATCATTTCTTCTTTTATATTTGTGTGTGTGTGTGTGTGTGTGTGTCTGTCTGTCTGTCTGTCTGTCTGTCTGTCTGTGTGTAGGTGTGTGAGTTAATGTATTTGTCTGTGTGTCTGTGTGTAGGGGTGTGTGTGTGTGTGAAGCATGTGTCTGTGTGTAGGTATATGTGTATATGTGTGTTGTAGGTGTGTGTATGTGTGTTGGTGTGGGGGGGGTAGGTATTTGTGTATATGTGTGTAGGTGACTGTGTGTGTGAAGCATGTGTCTGTGTGTCGGTGTGTGTGTGCAGGTGCGTGCGTGTGTGTGTGTGTGTGTGTGTGTGTGTGTTTGTGTGTGTGTGTGTGAAGCATGTGTCTGTGTAGGTATGTGTGTATATGTATGTAGGTGTGTGTGTGTGTGTGTGTGTGTGAAGCATGTGTCATGTATGTATGTATGTGTGTGTGTGTGTGTGTGTGTGTGTGTGTGTGTGTGCATGAGAGTGTAATTGTGTGCACGTGAGTACAGGTTCCTTAGAAGCCAGGAGAGGACGTCAGATACCCTGCAGGTGGAGTTCTGTGAAAGAGTGAGAACCAAACTCAGTTCCCCTACAAAAGCAGAATGTACTCTTAGCTGGGCGTGGCAGCACTCACCCTTAATCCCAGCACTCTGGAGGCAGAGGCAGGTGATTCTCTGATTTTGAGAGTTCAAGGAGAGCCAGGGCTATAGAGAGAAACCCTGTCTCAGAAAACAACAACAAAAAGCAACTTAAAAGACACAGGACTTATCTGGTTCGCCATCCCGGCTTACAATCCATCCCCATGGGGATGACTAGGTAGCTTGAACTTGAAGTAGCTAGTCACATCACACCCATAGACAAGAATGGAGAGCAGAATTAATGCATCCCAGTGCTAACCTTACTATTTCCATGCCTATGCAACCCAGGGTTCCCTGCCCAGGAACTGGTGCCACCCACAGTGGGCGGGACTTCCTGGTAGTCAAGACAATGACCCAACAACTTGCCCACAGACTAGCCTAATCTAGGCAGTCCCTCACTGAGAATCCTTCCCAGGTGATTCTGGGTTGTGAGAAGTTGACAATTAAAGCCAACCATTACACACTCCCTCAACGTCACAGCATTGGATAGAGACTTGGTCTTCCCAGAGATCTGCTCGCCCAGGGGAAGGGTGCTTAGCAGAGGCGCTCTGCCGACATATGGTAAGTACTACTCAAGACCTTGTTTGTTCCCAGGCTCTGATGGGCACAGCTCTCCTAGGATCTGTCCTTAGACACCCAGTCCTAGGGTAGACCATCTCCTTCAGTCTTGGAAGCCAGAGGCTGCTGCAGCAGACGCCAGGAAGAACATACAGCCTTTACAACCCAGCAGGAACATACAGCTTTTACGAGGATTTGTGTACCTCACCAACTTGGGCCTCCAGAATCTGACCAGAGACTTTGTCCTCTCCAGGGGACTAGTTTGCTAAGGGGGAAACACTCCCAAGCAACAGAACCGGGCAAAGCGAAGTTCGAGAAGCAAACATTTCACACTGAATCCACTTCCGCTCTCTCACCAGGATGGCCACCTAGTGTTACTAGAAGCCCTGATTCCTAGGAAGAGACAAAGGGAACAGAGTGGACCGTACATCCGAAGGTCGCAGTAGGGCCAGCAAGATGGCTCAGGGGGCAAAGGCGCTTTTCTTAGCCTGGTGACAGGACCCACACAGGGGAAAGAAACAACTGACTCTACCAAGCTGTCCTTGACTTCCATACATGCATAGTGGCGTGTGTGTGTGTGTGTGTGTGTGTGTGTGTGTGTGTGTGTGTCCCACCACAGATAAATAAATGTATTAAAATTTACAAAAGAATGATTAGAGATAAAGATCTACTGAGATAAAAATTAGAAACTGCAGCTGGAGAGATGAGCACCCAGTGATCTTCCTTCCACAGCAGCTCACAATTTGCAACTCTAATTTCAGGAAATCTGATGCCCTCTTCTGGCCTCTGTAGGTACTGCTGCAGTGGTACACAGATGTTCATGAAGGCAAAATACCATCTACAGATAAAAAATAAAAATGAGCATCTTTTTTTTTTAATTACAGAAAATCGTTCTCAAATGAATAGTAGCAAAAGCTGCAGTGGTGTTGGAAATACACTGACCAGCATCCATTTCTTTGATGACTTCAAGTGAGTGAATTGTATGTCCAACGGATTTTATCTCATGAAAGCCCTTTTAAGAAAGTCAGGAGGGCCGGGGAGTCCGTTCAAACAGGAAATTGCATTAGGTCTCAGAACAAACCAGGCATGCTGGCACATACCTATACTATGTGTCTGGCTTGGTAGAGACATACAGATCCCTGAAGCTGGCTGCCCAACCATCACAGCCATGCCTGGTCGGTTTCAAGTCGATGAGAGACCAGGTCTCAAAAAGAAAAAAAAAAATGTATGGATCAGGAGGTGAGGGTGCTTGCCACCAGCCCCAAGGGACTGAGTTAGATCCCCGTGAGCCACATGGTAGAAGGGAGTAATTGACTCTTGCGATTTGTTTTCTCACCTCCAACATGAGCAATGTGGCACACACACACACACACACACACACACACACACACACACAAATCAAGAAAAATGAATAAATAATAAAACATTATTAAAAAAAATTTCATGGAGATGCTCCATGAACAACAGTCGAGATTGTCATCCGGAACAGGTATACACACACGTGTGCACATGGCCATGTACACACTCAGAAAGAGAGAGACAGAAACCAGAAAACAAAAGGTACACAAAACAAAACACAGTAACAACAAAAACAAAACCCCTTGCCCTCCTTTCATGGCCAGATCTGGAAACTTGCTACTCACCGGTGCTATCTGTGTAGCAGGTCACAGAGATGGAAGGAGCCTTGAGTCCATTCGAGACAGTAGTGACGGTGACCGTGTAGGACTGAGCTGGTCCAAGGTCTATAACAGACATGCCCTTCTCACACAAATCTGCATTCTCGGAGCTCCATTGTCTGTCCTCCTCCACCTCGAAGGTCTCATAACCCCCAGATGGGCAGGACCAGTTCAGGAAGACCCCGTAGCCCCCAGAGGTGCTGACGCAGGACATGCTCACGACAGCAGCTGGGACTGAGTTTAGAAAACAAGAGAAATCAGTCTGAGCCAACCGCCGAAGGCGCCTGGTTTTACACTTCCAACTCTCTGAGAGCTAGCCCAGCCCTTCGTCTCCAAACAAACAGCTCATCTTCTCACATGCCCAAAAGACCAAACTACCACCCCCCCCCCAGAATACAATCCCGAAATGCCTTGGACTCTGTATCACTGAATGTCTGAGGCCCCAGCTTGATGGCATTATGGAATTTATAGTCCACTCTTCTTTTTTCACACCATATCAAGGTCACTGAGCTCTTAGTATGGCTTTTATTCTGTAGCTGTGTGACCTCGTTGGGAGGTGAAAGTGAGCAGCGTCCTAATGGCCCCCTACCCAGCCAACCATCCTGGTTAACACCTGGAATCCTAGTATTGGGGGGGGGGGCTGAGGCACTGCCATGAGTTCAAGGCTAACCTGGGCCACATAGTGAGTTTCTGGTCATCAGTGAAAAACTCCAGTGAGAAAACACGGAGCTACAAGAAAGAACCCAGAAACATGGTGGGGCCCAGGATCATCTGAGACCTCTCCGTCCATTTCACTCTGGGTCTCATCATCCATTCATACAAGACACCTCAAACTACAACTCCCTTGAGGTCTTGGAAACTCTGTACCTCAATCTAGGAAGTCCTGGCCCCAAGGCATGATGGGGTTTGAGAAAGAAAACAGGGTAGAGGAAGTGATAAGAAACAGTGTCTGCTCTCACCTGTGGAGGTCTTTAGAGTCTGGATGGTGCTGTTGACTCCATGTCTTTCCACCCACACAGAACACTCATATGAAGAGCCAGGATCCAGTCCATCCACGGTGACACTGGTGTCTGCTGTGTTCCGGTTCCCACTTTTGCCACCTTCTCTACTGTACTCAATCCTGTAGGTGAGGCCCTGGGAGGGGTGGCCCTCAGGGACATCCCACCTGAGACTGATGGAGCTGTTGGTCTGAGTTTCCACCCTCAGGTTTCTCACCGGGTTTGGAGCTGAAATGGAGACAGAAGGGGACATGAGATGTTGTTCCTGTCCTCAACTTTCTATCCCTTCAGGACACAGTGGCAGAGGTGGGTTGATGGGGACCTAGAATGTCCAATATGGCCACACACTTTCCATTTGCTGTTTGAGCTCTGGAATGTGCACGGTGGCCACTAGCATGCCAGTGAGAGTTAGTACAAAGAGTTGGGAAATTTTGTCCCTGGATTAATAATGTCAGACCTAGCAAGGCCTGGTGACTTCATGTCTGTTAAACCAGAACTCGGTACTCAAGAAGCTGAGGCAGGAGGATTGCGCCACATTAGAGGCCAGAATGGGCTACATAATAAGATACTGTTCAAATAAAGAAAAACCAGGAAAAATAATACAAATATCCCCCAGAGCCCAACCTCATTGTTTTTTTAAATATGGGTTGCAGGTACGAATGAGATGTTCTATGTCTTTCCAAAAATCACATGAAGCTAAACTGTGGTGGAGCTGGTCATTAATCCCAGCGCTTGGGAGGGAAGGCAGGTGGATCTCTGTAAGTTCAAGACCAGCCTAGTGTAGGGGAAATGCTGACCACGCCTACTTGGAGGCTGGCCAGCATTCCCCCTACAGCCTAGTAAAAAGAGAGTTGCAGGACAGCCAGGGCTACACGGAGACACCCTGTCTGGAAAAACCAAAAAGAAGAAAGAATCTCTCATGAAGATCAATGGCGTCTTTCTCTATCTTTTCCTCTATTCTACAATGGCTGGTAGAGACTGAAGTTTAAGTATGTCTCTCTTCCTGCCCCTTCCTCTGTCAGCTCCCAAACACCTCTAACCACATTCCATTTCCATCAAAGGCATCAGAGACCACATGTGAGGCTGCAGAGACGGGTCAGAGCTCAACAGCATTCCCTGAACTTACAGATGACCCAGGTTCAGTTCCCAGAATCCCGGGAGAGCTCACAACCGTCTGCTGACTTCCTATGGACCCTTCACCCTCTTCTGGCCCCAAGGACAATTTATGTACCTGGGGCACTTGCCCATGGGCAGACAAAGCACTCATATACATAAAATGAAAACAGATAAAATTAAAATCTTCTTACAGAGTCAAGGAGGTGTGATGGTTGGTGCACACCTATAACTCAGGATTCCAGGAAGTACTGGCAGGGGAGTCATGTGGTCCAGGCCAGAAAACGAGGAGGAGGGAAGGGAAAGGAAACAGTGTCTGCTCTCACCTGTGGAGGTCTTTACAGTCTGGATGGTGCTGTTGACTCCATCTCTTTCCACCCACACAGAACACTCATATGAAGAGCCAGGATCCAGTCCATCCACGGTGACACTGGTGTAGTTTGTACTCTGGATCCCAGTTTTACCACCTTCTCTACTGCACTGGGCCCAGTAGGTGAGGCCCTGGGAGGGGTGGCCCTCAGGGACATCCCACCTGAGACTGATGGAGCTGTTGGTCTGAGTTTCCACCCTCAGGTCTCTCACTGGGTTTGGAGCTGAAATGGAGACAGAAGGGGACATGAGATGTTGTTCCTGGTCCTCAACTTTCTATCCCTTCAGGACACAGTGGCAGAGGTGGGTTGATGGGGACCTAGAATGTCCACACACTTTCCATTTGCTGTTTGAGCTCTGGAATGTGCACGGTGGCCATTAGGATGCCAGTGAGAGTTGGTGCACAGAGCTGGGAAATTTTAACACTGGATTAATGATGTCAGACCTAGCAAGGCCTGGTGACTTCATGTCTGTCAATCCAGTACTAGGAAAGCAGAGGCAAGAGGATTGCTATGCATTAAAGGACAGCATGGGCTATAGAGTAAGATACTGTTCAAAGAAAGAGGAAATGAGGAAAACATAATGACAGTGTCCCCCAAAGCCCAACTTCATTGTTTTCTAAAATATAGATTATTTGTGTAAATGAGATGTTCTACATCATTCCAAAGTCTCATGAAGCAGTACAGTGGTGGAGCTGGCCATTAATCCCAGCACTTGGGAGGCAGAGATAGGTGGACTTCTGTGAGTTCAAGGACAGCCTAATCTAAAGAGAGTTGAAGGACAGTCAAGGCTACACAGAGACACCCTGTGTGGATTAAACAAAAAGAAAGCAAATCTCTCATGAAGATCAATGGCATCTTTCTCTATCTTTTCCTCTATTCTACAATGGCTGATAGAGACTGAAGTTTGAGTATGTGGCTTCCTTTCTATTTCTGCACCTTCCTCTGTCAGCTCCCAAACACCCTCTAACCACATTCCATTTCCATCAAAGGCATCAGAGACCAGATGTGAGGCTGCAGAGACGGGTCAGAGCTCAACAGCATCCCCTGAACTTACAGAGGACCCGGGGCAGCTCACAACTGTCTGCTGACTTCCTATAGACCCTTCACCCTCTTCTGGCCTCAAGGACCATTTATGTACCTGGTGCACTTGCCCATGGGCAGACAAAGCACTCATATACATAAAATAAAAACAGATAAAATCTTCTTACAGTGTGTCAAGGAGGTGTGATGGTTGGTGCACACCTATAACACAGGATTCCAGGAAGTACTGGCAGGGGAGTCATGAGGTCCAGGCCAGAAAACGGGGAGGAGGGAAGGGAAAGGAAACAGTGTCTGCTCTCACCTGTGGAGGTCTTTATAGTCTGGATGGTGCTGTTGACTCCATCTCTTTCCACCCACACAGAACACTCATATGAAGAGCCAGGATCCAGTCCATCCACGGTGACACTGGTGTAGTTTGTACTCTGGATCCCAGTTTTACCACCTTCTCTACTGCACTGGGCCCAGTAGGTGAGGCCCTGGGAGGGGTGGCCCTCAGGGGCATCCCACCTCAGGCTGATGGAGCTATTGGTCTGAGTTTCCACCCTCAGGTTTCTCACTGGATTTGGAGCTGAAATGGAGACAGAAGGGGACATGAGATGTTGTTCCTGGTCCTCAACTTTCTATCCCTTCAGGACACAGTGGCAGAGGTGGGTTGATGGGGACCTAGAATGTCCACACACTTTTCATTTGCTGTTTGAGCTCTGGAATGTGCACGGTGGCCATTAGGATGCCAGTGAGAGTTGGTGCACAGAGCTGGGAAATTTTAACACTGGATTAATGATGTCAGACCTAGCAAGGCCTGGTGACTTCATGTCTGTCAATCCAGTACTAGGAAAGCAGAGGCAAGAGGATTGCTATGCATTAAAGGACAGCATGGGCTATAGAGTAAGATACTGTTCAAAGAAAGAGGAAATGAGGAAAACATAATGACAGTGTCCCCCAAAGCCCAACTTCATTGTGCGGGGCTCTACCTCTGAGCCAGTGAGTGGTGCTGGGTTTTTTAAGAAAGAATGTTGAGGATGGTGGTGGTGGTGGTGGTGGTGCACACCTTTAATCCTAGAACTCAGGAGGCAATGGCAGGCAGATCTCTGAGTTTGAGGCCAGCTGGCTAATCTAAAGAGAGTTGCAGGACAGCCAAGGCTACACAGAGACACCCTGTCTGGAAAAAGTAAAAAGAAAAGAAATCTCTTGTGAAGATCAATGGCATCTTTCTCTATCTTTTCCTCTATTCTACAATGGCTGGTAGAGACTGACTTTTGAGTATGTGGCTTTCTTTCTATTTCTGC